ATTGCATTTTGTATATAATTATTTTCATTTAATATTTTCGTTTCTACCGTCCAGTTAAAGGAACTTTCAAGGATTAATTTAATGATACAAATACCCAACCAAAACTCGTGTGAATTTTCCATACGACATAAAAGAAGTTAGGCAAATTTGTACCATACATATAATCTCTGAAATTCCAAGTAGTCTACGTTCCTATAATTTATTTTCATTGATTTTTTTTTCATTATTTCAAAATCATTACATTATCATGTTGAGTTGTTCTTCTCCGAATGTTATACGTACTGATCACAATATGGAATGGATAATATATATATATATATATATATATATATATCAAGTGGAAAAAAAACAATATCTTAATACATGATTGTGAATACGAATGGATTATCTAAAGAAGATTAAAAAAAAATATGGAGATGTAACCAATCATAGCATGGTCCGAACATGCCAAATATTACATTACGTATATTAAATTTAATATGAAGACTTCCATTACTTCTCGTTAGCAATGGCAAGAGAAATTAAACATTAAAATTATATCATCTTTAGATATAGAAAAATATTTAAACTTGTTAAACCCATATGGAATTAATCTATCTACCTATCTATATATATATATTGGACGTGTTTTGTCTCCCAATCATTCACAGGTAAGTGGAAGAATATTCTCCATGAGAATTCACATGGAACGTCGATTTTAGGTTATATTTGTATTCGATTGCACTCAGCTTTTTCCACCTTTTACAATTTATAAAATAAAATAAAATTACTAAAAAAAGACAAGGACGTTAACTTACGTTAATTTTCATTAACGTATATATATGTGTGTGTGTGTGTGTGTATAGTAAGGTACCACCTCCTTGGACACGTTCTTTTACCTTTTACCTTTTTTTTTTTTATTTAAGAAAACCCATTTGTTCACACCATCCTCTCACATGATACGATGGCACTGCTCGTGATGTAGACATACACATATATGTGCATGTATATATAAAGATATTATTGTAAATCTACATGGGAATTTTATTCTACAGTGTTCTATTGTATATAGCATAAAATACAGAAAATATTTGTCCTTTAGATGTAAATGACAAAGCGGTCTACTAGCTTTCTCGTACCATATATATATATATATATATATATATATATACATACACACACCATGGCATGCACACTCATATATGTACGTCTCTATCCATGCAGACAAAAGGAAAATGAATACAATGTAATATATGATTCAACGCCTTACACTCATATACAACGCAAGCAAAAGGAAAAGCTATAAACTTTTTCCTCTTCCATGTAACCCAATCTACACATCATCATATATCATCCAACCCAATCAAGAATCAGAAAGTTGGGCGACATATAAGTTTCTGAGATTTGATATTGCATAAAAAGTGTATATATATATATATATGTGTGTATTTGATATTGCATAGAAGGTATATACGCATATACACGTATGATCTGCCTCTGAAATTCTTCAATGCTAAACGAAACCCTTGTTTGGAAGGGGAAGCATGCTTCAAAGCTTTCGTCTTCTTCCACACATATGTAGTATTATTAACTCACCAAGAAACCATGACGGTCCTGGATTCAAATGAGCAAAGGCAAAAGAAGAATATACAAAACCCTTAGGTTTGGATTCAAGAGAGAAGAACGGATGATGATGGAGAGAGAAAAGAAAGTCATGATTGCGGCAACTGAGCATCTCGATAATAAACGGGAAGAATAAAAACAACATGACGTCTTAATATCTAACATTTTGACTGCGTGCCGTTTTTATAACTCCTGACTGAGTGACAAGTGAGACTCTATGAGCTAAAACCCCTCTCATCCTCCCCCCCTGAGGATCTTGCTTCTGAGCTTAAACCCCATTCCCCGACAACCCGATAAAGATTCCGAATTCCCAGGAAAAATGGTCGCTTGATTTGGTTATGTGGGTCTAGGCTTTTCTCGACTTCATGGTTTGAATATCGAAGGCTTTGATTCTGGTACTGCGAGTTTTGTGAAGAAACTCTGGGTTCATGGCGTCTCTCTCTTTCGCCCTGTTTCTCTCACTTCCCAGATTTCCTCGAATCTCTCTTCTGCTTCCTAAATTTTAGAAAAAAATTCAGATGTTGGTCGAAACTGGAACTTATTGTGCTTTTGGCCATTTAAGTTCGGTGGAAATTTCTCCCTACGTTGTTGCGTTTTTCGTTCAATTTAGGTCGTGACCGGATTATATGGGGGAAAAAACGTGGAGGGCTATGCTTATTTCTTAGAAAATTGAACATTTGATGGCAGTCTTGATCTTGATGTTTGTTCGTAGAGGCTTGCCTATGTTGAATCTTGCTTCTGATACCATAGCATTCTCATTGAGTTGTTGATGATCATGATTTTCTCATAAACGAGCTTTTCTACTTCCAGATGCAATGACGATGTCTCGTATCTCCAGACATCGAGTTTTGTGAAGCTCGGAGGTTTAAAGTGGAATGGTAACCAAAGTTTCAAGATTGCTGCTAGGAGAAAGGTTTCAGAGTCGGGACCTTTGGAAGAAGAAGAAGAAGAAGAAGAAGAAGAAGAAGGTGGAAATGGAGCTGTCGGGAGAAAGAAGCCATCTAGAAGTCCAAAAAGAGGAGGAGGTGGTCGGACGAGGAAGAAGACAGCAACTGCTGATGAACTGGGAGAAACCTCTCAGCTCTCAGTAGATGAATATGCCTCGGGTGAGGAAAATGCTGTCTCGGCTACAACTGGAAAGACGACCAGACAGCCGAGGAGAACCAGGAGGAAAGGTACAAGGTTTATCATTTTCATTGCCTCGTTCCCTTGAGGCTTGGCTTGAAAAAGGAAAGCCTGTAATTAAAAATCTCAAACTTTACAGCAGCAGCTTCTGACGTGGATGAAGGGAAAACAGAGAAGAAAGTGGAGAGGAGGAGGGCTGCTAAAAAAGACCGAGATACGGATGATTTAGATAGTGAACATGAGGAGCCATCGCAAATCGAAAATGTGGAAGCCGAGAGTGAAGAAGACGAGATTGATCTGGACAAATATGATAGCGAAGATATCAGTTACACATATGGATGGCCTCCACTTGTGTGTTGCTTTGGATCTGCACAACATGCTTTTGTATCCTCGGGGAAGAGGGCAAACAGGCTTATAGATTATGAATTACATGCTCGGATGAAAGATGCATTCTGGGCTCCAAAAAAGTTTGTTCGGGCACCCGGGGGATGTGCAGGAAGCGTTGCCATTGCTCTTGCAAGCTTGGGAGGTAAGGCTGCCTTTATGGGCAAGCTCGGGGACGATGACTATGGTCGGGCAAAGTTGTATTATCTGAATGTATGTAACGTTCAGACAAGATCAGTTCGTATCGATGGTAAAAGGCCTACAGCTTGTTCTACGATGAAGCTCAGCAAGAGAGGTCGCTTGAAGACAACGTGTGTTAAACCCTGTGCAGAAGATTCTCTCTCAAAGTCGGAGATCAATGTTGATGTACTGAAAGAGGTAATGAGATAAAAATATTGCAACTAACCCGTTTTCAACGAGTTTTTTTCAAATAAAAGACAAATGGTAAAACCGATATACTTTGGTGCAGGCAAGAATGTTCTACTTCAGCACGCATTCTCTGCTAGATAGGAAGATGAGATCGACCACGTTACAAGCCATCAAGGTATTGAAGAAACTAGGCAGTGTCGTCTTCTATGACGTGAACCTGCCTTTACCGTTATGGCAGTCCCGTGACGAAACCGAGGCAATGATCCAACAAGTGTGGGACCTTGCGGATTTCATCGAGGTCACGAAACAAGAGCTCGAATTCTTGTGTGGGATAAACCCAATTCAAGAGTTTGATACCGAAAACAACAGCAGCAGCAAGTTTGTCCATTATGAGGCAGAGACGGTGGAACCTCTTTGGCATGAAAATCTCAAGATTTTGTTCGTGACGAATGGCACTTCTCAGATACATTATTACACTAAAGAGCACAGTGGTTCTGTTCTTGGAATGGAAGATGCACCCTGCATCTGGAGATGGCATTGTTGCAGGTCTGTTTTTTCTTTTTCTGCAGCTTTCTCGGAATCCAAACAGGAGTTTGGCTGGTAAACTTTGTTGGTCCGACATGTTTCAGGTCTGATGAAAATGCTGACAGTTCAGCCTGATCTTGTAACTGATAAAGGATACCTGGAAAAGACTGTAAGGTATGGAATTGAGTGTGGGGTTATAGATCAATGGCTGATGGCACAAACACGAGGGTTCCCTGCTGAGGGAGAGATTGGAGAAGATAAAGATGAAGATGAAGATGAAGAGGAAGAAGAAGAACTTGATCCAGATGGGATCAGATCAATAACAGAGAGGGAATACAGAACAGTAGAGTATGTTGATGAAGAGGACGATCCATTTGCGATGAAGCCAATAGCAGAAAGAGTATACAAACTTTTGGAGCCTGTTGGCTCAGTAATTGATGATGAAGAAGATTCATCTTGATTTTTTGAATTTGAGTAATCCAAAAATTTGGATTATTAATCAAATTCCCTCCTATTAATCTGCATATCTTGTATCAGTGATTTAACTTTGTAGTTTCTCAATAATTTGGAAACCACAGGAGAAAAAACTTTAACAAAGAAGATGAAGAACAACTTGCTTGTTCTGTTACCAAATAACTTGGAAGTTAGTAGTAGTACAGGAAGAACATGCATGATGTTCTGTAATAAACAAAAACTGTCTCATCTCCTCCATTACCTAAATATCTATAAATGGAAGTGGTTTAAGGATGAGACAGGAGATACAAGAGAGCAGCAAGCCACGCAAAAACCAGCCAGTTAGAGCGGTCGTTGAAGCAATCAATCAAAATCTTACAGTCGAAGGATTGTCCGAAGGGTGTCGCATAAATTCTGAATGGTTTGCTGTTCTTGTGTTGCTTGCAGTTCCTGTAATGGCATCTCCTCGTAGCAACTGCATCCAATTCTAATCAATAAGCACCAGTTTATCAACCAAATTCATCGGAGTATATATATATGTATTAAAGGCTGATGTCAAGTTCAACGCTGATGAATCTGGCACAAGCTCTTGCTTACCACAGAACGTATGTATTATTAATACATATATATATACTCCGATGAATTTGGTTGATAAACTGGTGCTTATTGATTAGAATTGGATGCAGTTGCTACGAGGAGATGCCATTACAGGAACTGCAAGCAACACAAGAACAGCAAACCATTCAGAATTTATGCGACACCCTTCGGACAATCCTTCGACTGTAAGATTTTGATTGATTGCTTCAACGACCGCTCTAACTGGCTGGTTTTTGCGTGGCTTGCTGCTCTCTTGTATCTCCTGTCTCATCCTTAAACCACTTCCATTTATAGATATTTAGGTAATGGAGGAGATGAGACAGTTTTTGTTTATTACAGAACATCATGCATGTTCTTCCTGTACTACTACTAACTTCCAAGTTATTTGGTAACAGAACAAGCAAGTTGTTCTTCATCTTCTTTGTTAAAGTTTTTTCTCCTGTGGTTTCCAAATTATTGAGAAACTACAAAGTTAAATCACTGATACAAGATATGCAGATTAATAGGAGGGAATTTGATTAATAATCCAAATTTTTGGATTACTCAAATTCAAAAAATCAAGATGAATCTTCTTCATCATCAATTACTGAGCCAACAGGCTCCAAAAGTTTGTATACTCTTTCTGCTATTGGCTTCATCGCAAATGGATCGTCCTCTTCATCAACATACTCTACTGTTCTGTATTCCCTCTCTGTTATTGATCTGATCCCACCTGGATCAGGTTCTTCTTCCTCTTCTTCATCTTCATCTTCATCTTCTCCAACCTCTCCCTTAACAGGGAACCCTCGTGTTTGTGCCAGCAACCATTGATCTATAACCCCACACTCATCCCATACCTTACAGTTTTTTCCAGGTATCCTTTATCAGTTACCATTGAACTGTCAGCATTCTCATCAGACCTGAAACATGTCGGCCCAACAAAGTTTACCAGCCAAACTCCTGTTTGGATTCCGAGAAAGCTACAGAAAAAGAAAAAACAGACCTGCAACAATGCCATCTCCAGATGCAGACATATCCCCTGTGAAAGGAGTGATGGGTGCATCTTCCATTCCAAGAATAGAACCACTGTGCTCTTTAGTGTAATAATGTATCTGAGAAGTGCCATTCGTCACGAACAAAACCTTGAGACTTTCATGCCAAAGAGGTTCCACCGTCTCTGCCTCATAATGGACAAACTTGCTGCTGCTGTTGTTTTCGGTATCAAACTCTTGAATCGGGTTTATCCCACACAAGAATTCGAGCTCTTGTTTCGTGACCTCGATGAAATCCGCAAGGTCCCACACTTGTTGGATCAATGCCTGGGTTTCGTCACGGGACTGCCATAACGGTAAAGGCAGGTTCACGTCATAGAAGACGACACTGCCTAGCTAGTTTCTTCGATATCTTGATGGCTTGGAACGTGGTCGATCTCATCTTCCTATCTAGCAGAGAATGCGTGCCGAAGTAGAACATTCTTGCCTGCACCAAAGTATACCATTTGTCTTTTATTAGAAAAAAAACTCGTTGAAAACGGGTTAGTTGCCTCTTTCAGTACATCAACATTGATCTCCGACTTTGAGAGAGAATCTTCTGCACAGGGTTTAACACACGTCGTCTTCAAGCGGCCTCTCTTGCTGAGCTTCATCGTAGAACAAGC